TCTCAACATCAAAATAATTATTAAGCTAAATGAACAATTTGTCAGCTGATCTGGACAGCACCTTTTTGTAGCAATTTGTAGAGAAATTTTAGCGCACAAATAGCTGTAAGAAAACATAGTAGGTAAAGAAAGCGGTATCAAACTTATTAACTGAAATAAACCGTCGCATATCGCAATGTCGATCTTTGATGTATTTTTACTTCAGTATTCCTCACGTATTTGGACTTGTACAGATAGTCGTAATATGATTGCGATAAGATCAATATCGATAATTACCGCATCAATCTCTATTATTTTTATTCATACATAATATATCTAATATGTTAGAAAGAAATCAATCCATTGCTTGTTGTTTGACTTGTGTAAGAGACTATTTGGTCGGATATCGTTCAACATATACTATTTTTATCGTTAAATAAAAAGAATGATTTGCTGATCTCGTACAAAAACACATAAGAGATAAGATCATTAGATATATAAATCGTTTTTAATATCTGATAACATCATTTGTATTTGGCGAGAAGATCGAGTTGAGAATCAAAATCAAGGAGATTATAATCAAATAAGATTAGTAGATACTACAGTATATATATGATTGTGTCCATTGTTCACCCAGGGCTAAACAGTTAAGTAAGTAATGTTCCGTACCTATATACCTAATAATATAAAAAAAAAATATATTTTAGCAAAATAGTGCGAGGATTCTGGCTGGATCTATTAAAAACTTGACTTTTAAAGTCTTTCCGTCAGTCAGTACCAGAGGACTGAATAGGAGGAATTGATAGGTATTTAAGGCAGTAATTAACGGCTAAAATTCGAAGAGACTTAAAACATTGTTGTTGAGTTGAGTGATTTAAAATTTGATTACTTAATTGATGTGACGAGGCGGCGGGGATGTACTTTATGAAGCTCGAACAGCTATAAGCAAACGAATTCGCATTTCGTACTTTTCAGTTCTTATTTGGAATTTAAAAAAATGTTTGGTTGTTAGGTCATATAGGTAAGTCACTATATAAGTTTTGAGATGCTCGAAATTTGAAAATGGAACGCATTTGTGTTTAATATTATTAAAAGGCAAATTTATTTGCAAATCGAACACAAAAGACCATTTACAGAAAAAAATAATAATTGGAAGAATGATTATACTGTCTGTTTTCGATTTAAAACGGTTGGTGTTGATGACTATGTTTTTCTTAATTATAACTAAATTTTCTTGATTTTACCGAGGTAGAGATATGACGGAGTATCTATAAACCGTGTAAAGATTTTTTAAATGTGTGTTATATGTACTGATATTGATATACTTAGCGGGTTTAGTTCTAGTTGGTCCGTTCAACTAAGCGTAGGTATTATCTACCTAAATTATGAAAACTCTATTGATAAGTTAAAAACTCTGTGTTGTTAAATAAAAAAAAAAATTCATTGGTGTCTAACGATATAAAGAATTAAATTTCTCTCGCACTCTCGTTGACACCAACGAAACCGGTGCGACGCCGACGGCCTTAAAGACGGAACCGTGTTTCCTTCATGTGCTAGTAAAATGCACGGTATTTTGTTAATGATGTCTTTTAATCTAGTGTGTGTTATATAATCTTTTATCTATTTAAATAAAAATGAGTAGCCAAAATAACTTCTGAACGACTGCACTAAATTCGATAAATATTTTTTGTTTGTGTTCGTTATTGTTAGGATAAGGTTTGTATGAAATAAAATAAAAAAGAAAATGAACAGGCTCATAAAAATTATTTGATTGACTCACTTAATAAAAATTATTTGATTGAACCTCACAACTTATAAACACGTACACGAGTGATGCGTCCTATAAAAGTGAGCTGCATTACGGTCATTCTCGCTCGAGCCGACGGGCTGTACGGATCTATGTACGACTGATAGTAAGACCTTGGAATATATCTTTAATTGTATTTCTTGTTGTCTTTATTTAAGACTGTACTGATATATGTACGACTGTTGGTAAGACTTGGCAATAAATCTTTAATAGTATTTATTAATGTCATTATTTACTACCCTACGGAGCTATGTACAACTCTTGGTAAAAACTTGAAATACATTTTGATTGTATTTACTATTGTTCTTATTTACTACCGTCTGACTGTACGGATCTATATCTATATAAATATAAATGAAGCGCCGACATGTATTTAGGCTTATAACTTCTAAACGACTTCATCAAATTGGATAATTCATTTTAAGTGTGTTCGTTATTGTTGGACAAGGTTTGTATAAAAGAAAATTAATAAAATAGGAACAGATTTAAAAAAATGATGACTATGAGAGACCTTCTATATACTGACAAAACAATATTGTTTAAGATGGACAGTATCACATCAACAGCCTTTAATGGGCTACTGCTGGACATAAGCCTCTCCTTGGAAAGGAGGTTTTGGCCTACTATACCACGCTGGCTAGACGGCTTGGTATAGTGTTTGGGTCAAGTTTTCCTTCTCTCTGCAGTGCTGTTGTTCTGTGTAGTTTTATCCCTTAGTCGGCTCTTACGACACCCACAGGATGAATAGGGGTGGTGACGCTCTGTATTCTTAATCCGTCACCACATGGGCAGTATAGTGACATTAATTCATAAATATGCTGATATATATGAATTAATAAAAATAAAAACTGCTCCACGTACTAAAAACTATTTAAAAAAAATTTAAATTCATTCAGAACGAAACGCCTTCGAATCAGCCATTTTGGATCTGTCGGAGGGAGACTGAAATAAGTGTTTCCAAGACTGGTTTAGGCCAAGAGGAATTTGTGTAGAGAGTGATGTGAGTATTTTGAAAAAACATATAATATAAATTACATTTAGAAAAAATCAATTGCGTGGCTCAAAATGTCTCAAATTATTTGATTTGAGGGGGCATAAAATTTCGCCGAAGGTTTAGTTATCTATACATTCCAGCGAAAGGTTAAGGTGGTGAAGGAATAATCGTGCTCCTCACGCAACGCAAAGAAAAACAAAAAAAAAACAAAACTATTTGTCGTGGGTGCGAATCGAATTCAAGATCTCTTAATCAGTCAGGAACACAAACCACTAGACCAACAGGCCTGCCAAAGTAGATACTAACATTATGAATTAAGGGAAAAGATTAAGCAGGTATATTCCGATGCAAACTTGGCGGCTTTAAAGTTAGCTGCGCACATAGGTCTGCGCAAGTACCTACAGTCAAGTCGACTCAACTGTACGTCGACAAGAATATGCGCGCATGTGCAGTGTACGGATGTAACTCGCACACTAAAAGGCATGCGTGTCGTGTCCGTGCCCTGCCCCAGCGCTCCTTTACGTCACGCTGCTGTCTATTACTGTGTTCTGCGCATCGAAACGCACGATGTTACGAGCCGCCATTACGTTTGCATCGGACTATATATAAAACTCAGCTTATCTGCCCACATGAGTTTAGTTGCCACTGAACCACATATTTAACTAAATAATAGAAGAAATAGATTGTTAAGGCGATTTTAACGAGACAACTTATGAGACGCTGAAATCTGGAGAATTTTTATAACAAACAACTCTTTGTACTAGGAATGATTGATGTTTTGCGGGGACTTTACAAACATAACGAACGCTAACAGCATCTAAACTCTGTTCAATATTTTTGTATCACATACATTTTTGTCCCGTATTGGAATTCGATTGGCACATAGTAAAGTCACTACTTCAATCATTGCGAAACCCATACAGTCGAAATGTCCTATCATATTTTACTATCTTGACATAGTAGTGATATATGTTTACCAAAACATTACGTGATTTGTTCAATTTATCGATGTTATTGGACTATTTATCAAGATTTATACTAATTATGATAACACTAAAGTATTTTAAAGTAGTACGTAACAACCTTTGTTCTTGTCGCTTAGTACGTATAAGCGTGATTCACTTCTAAGACGCGTTGAGGATTATTTTTTTCGTTGTAACGCAGAAAGTGTTATCATCATCATCATCATCTACACCACGGCACGCTGGCCAGACGGGTTGGTATAGGGTGAGGGTGTGAGTTAGTTTGGCCAGCCGCGAGGGGGCGGAGTCCGCGTGTGCCGGACGTCGCCTAAAGAGAGGAAAATTTTGAGACGGAGCCCGCAACAGGAGCGGGCCGGCGCTAGGAGGGGTCCGGATGTCTTAATAACAGCTGTTCCCGGATCCCTCCTATTACAGGCGCAGAGTGGCACACCGTGTGGTTTTAGTCGGTCCAAATCCGACACACCACCCCGCCGCAAATCCCGGTGGGGTGACGGTCCGAGGGGATTTCCACACGTAAAAAAAAAAAAAAGGTGGGGTGTGAGAAGATTTCCTTCTCTTTGCACTGCTGTTATCCTGTGTACGGGATGAATACACACAGTCCGCGTGGTGGTCACCACACGAACTGTCTATAAAATAAATTATAGTTACTAGAAGTTTTAAGTTTTATTACCGTCTGGGGTTTGCAATGACAAGGGAGAGAGAGAATTCTGTCGTAGAGATTGCGGTTTCTAAATATATCAGACCTTTCAAACACGCTCATAAACTTTATTTTTCTAAAAAAAGCGCTTTACACTTTCAGTGTTAGTTAAACTTTTACTAATTTAAGTCGTTATATTTTTGGCTTTATTTTCGAAGAACACATTTAAACATTCTTCGTATTCAATATCTTGCTTCAATTTTATGGCCATCTAAATCGTAGACAAAAACATAAGCTACAAGTGTCATTCGAAGAAAACGATTTGTTATAGCTTTCGTAGTGTTGGAGGAGCCACCTGTTGCCATTTATTACGACATCTATTTATTGTTCGGAAATATATTATAATAAATGAACAGTGATCTGTAGATGAATCAGATGGATGAATGATTATGATTAAATGAAATTTAAATGCTTTTGATGAATTGTGGTTGCTTGATGGAAAATGAACGATTGGAAATGTACAAAATTATACTATAATTATCATTTTTTGCATTTTCTTGACGTTAAAAGCAATTTGTCTACTGTAGAAAAGAAAACAGTATGGGCCTCGTCCATTTATTTCATGTAAGTTAACAAATTGCATTATTTATTAAGTAATTAGTACATTTTCTGAAAATCTCGAAAAGCTTTCCTTAAGAAACTTACATTTATTTCTTGTCGGGTTGCTAGGTGTCTAACTGTAAAAAAAATTGTCAAGAGCGAGTTTAACCTGCGAGGTGGGGTGCTGTAAGATGAATATACAGGCCCACACAACCGACATGCACGCGGGCGGAGCCGCGGGCAAACGCTAGTTGATGATAGTTAAGGTACATTTAATTTATTTAGTACTAGTTTTTGCCCGCGGCTCCGCCCGTGTGGAAGTCGTTACTCGTTCATAATATAGCTTGCCATTGGTAAAAGAATTTTAAAATCGGTTTAATGGTTAGACGCGAAAGCGTAATAAACAAACAAACAAGCAAATAAACTCACTTTCACATTTATAATATGTAAAAAATATAAGTATGGAAGTCCCTGAAAGGAATCTCCCTGGATAACCAATTATATGGATAAATTGTTATCCAGGGAGATTCAGTGCAGTAATAAATATTATAGACCCTTTATCATAGTATCAAGTTATGATACAAAGTGTGACCTGCCTATTACTCCATACACTGCTTGGTAATGGTTAATAACGGATATTATAAGTTCTATTCATTATATAGAGGCGGCTGAAAGGCTCGGGAGGATAACCTCCACTTAGACGGCGAATGGCTGCGGGTGGAAGGAACGGGTTTTCATATCCCCAAAATGACCGACCGCAAGGAGGCGAGGTCCGCGTGTGCCGGATATTATCTACCTAGAGAATTTAGCCGAAAGTCGTGCCCCGCGCTATTACGGGCAGGCGTTAGGAGGAGTTCTATAAGGCGCAGAGTGGCACACCGTGTGGTTTTAGTCGGTTCGATTTCGGTGACGCCTCGACGGGCTTTTCACAAGGAAAAAAATGTAATAGCTTTTTATGGTTTTCAGAGGTTCGTTTCCTTTTTAACCTCTTCTTTAAGGAGAGCCCACTGCTGGACATACCAGCAGTGGGCTATTAAAGGCTGTTGATGATGTTTCCTTTTTAGTCTTCGATTGCCTGTGAGCGCTGAAGAATTTACATAAAACATAGCATTACATAAAACAAATAGTTTTATATATTTTAAATTAAGATTAAATAATTTAAATTAAGAAATAATAAATTACAATAACCACGACCATAATCCTGTGATTATATATAATATTATTATATTATTATTATTATGATATAATTGTATGAATGAATGAATGTTTTATTTGACTTTAAAATATATACACATTTATACATAGTTTGTAGTTGCTTAATGTTTCTGGACTTGAAGACAATGTGTGTTCGGTATTGGCATCTGTTGCTGAACTAGGCTAGAAACCTGTGTTTCAGCCAACAGCGCCTCCACCTCGTTCTCTGAGCACACTTACTATGGAAAAGTATTATAATTTTGTTAAATTAATATTTTGTGAATGTGGACCTCTCCCTCGGTGCCTGGATGCGTGTGTACTTGTATGTGTGTCTGCAAGGGAGAGAGTGTAAGAGTAGTGTGATAGTTGTAGGAGTAGAATGATACCCTTTAGTCTAAATTCTGCACAAATAGTTGTTCCACGTGTATTATGATAACCTATCATTGATAGGTACATATACCACGAGTATATTCCCCCACATGTGTGAAAATAATCAACTATGTTATCACTTGTGATATCTAATTAAAATAATTTGTTGATAAAAACAAATTATAAAATAATTAGCTAGAAGTGACTTATCGAAGATCCGTTATAATACGATTAATTATAGTGTGATAACTAAATCAATGCCCCCTAAAGCTCCTTTACATTTGACTTAGCCGAGATATTAACATTTGTATTTTGTATTTGTTGATTTCTATTGAACATTGGTCCGTGTGGTGACGGATTAAGAATACAGAGTGTCACCACCCCTTTTCATCCCGTGGATGTCGTAAGAGCCGACTAAGGGAAAAAACTACGCAGAACAACAGCACTGCAGAGAAAAGGAAAACTTGACACAAACCCTTTTTTTTTTTTTTTAACGTGTGGAAATCCCCTCGGAACGTCACCCCTCCGGGGTTTGCGGCGGGGTGGTGTGTCGGACTCGGACCGACTAAAACCACACGGTGTGCCACTCTGCGCTTGTAACAGGAGGGATCCGGGAACAGCTGTTGTTAAGACATCCGGACCCCTCCTAGCGCCAGCCCCGCACCAGGAGCGGGCTGGCGCTAGGAGGGGTCCGACTCAATATATTTTCCTCTCTTTAGGCGACGTCCGACGCGGACGCCGCCCCCTCGCGGCTGGCATAACTAATGCGGGTGGAGGGGAAACCCACCCCGTCCACCCGCGGCCACACTCAGGGCGGCATGAGGCGGTGATAGGCGGGCCTCAGCCGCCCGGTTCGCCGGCGGCGGATCGGGTCCGAGTGGAGGTCGTCCTCCCGGGCCCTCTCCGCCGCCTCCTTCCGCGAGATTACTACCTCGCAGAAGGTTGCGACCGCGGTAAAACAATCGTCCTCCCGGGCCTTGACACAAACCCTATACCAACCCGTCTGGCCAGCGTGGTATAGTAGGCCAAAACCTCCTTTCTAAGGAGAGGCTTATGTTCAGCAGTGGACTATTAAAGGCTGCTGATGATTGAACAAATAACTGTTGTCGTAAGAGGGCGACTTCTATAACTTTACTGTGCAGAATTTAGACTAATGATCGTGATGTTAAAATTAGATTGCAAATCTGGCAAATCCGTAAATTACACAATGGTACTTATTATGGGATGTATAACAAAAAATATTTCAGATATGTAACAGATAAATAACAAATTCGCCATGAAAAAGGTATTTTTAAAGGCGTTTAATTTATGTATTACCAAAGTTGGACTATGCTTTATTACATAATATTTCAATAACACACATATCTTAGCGTTCGTATATCGCATATTGGATTTAAACAAAGACTCTCAAGAAAGATAACAGATTGACTAGTACAGAGTCCGGTACATTGAATGCGTCACTTGCTTTACTTTATACCTTTTAATAAATGTGTATCTAATAGCAAATAATAGTGTAAAAATATAGTGATGCGGTATTACATCTTATCTCTTTGAAATTGGCCCATTGTTGTTGGATGCTTATTCATACCCGAAGTAAGTCAAAATAACATACAGTGTAGTAAAACTAATACCTTTGGATACTAAAAATAACGTAGTTTGTGTGTAGTATTATATAATTCACCAAATGATATACTTAATCAGTACCTATATAACAAAGGCCTTTTTGTTTTTAACACTCATTATCTAAATATTACGGTTTGATCATGTACACAGATATTGTATGTACATACATACTCGTAGATATTAAAATGTCACTAACAGGAATAACATATGTATTCAACATGTACTGATAATATCGTCATTGGTGATTATAATGCATTTAAAATGTATTTCATGTATTTTTCAAATTTCAAATTTTCGTTTTCTATTATATTAGGCAGCCAGCCTGTGGCTAGTGCCACCTAGTTAAACGTCAGGCAATTTAAAGGTATATAATACTTATTTAGCGATTATTTTAATTCTCGTACATATATATAAAATTATAGAATAAGGAGTAACCTTGATCTCTAAACCAGAATTTTCAAAATATGTAGAAAAACATTTTATGCTAAAAAAAGGTCAATAAATGACTGATGATAATAAACTATCTCAGACTGTCTTTTAAAATTTTCCCTTCTATGGTAATAATGTTCTTAATCCACCACCATACGATCCGTGAAGAATAAGGAGTGTCACCACCTCTATTGATACCGTGGGTGTCGTAAGAGCCGACCAAGAGAGCAAACTACGCAGGACAACAGCACTGCAAAGGGAAGTAAAACTTGATACAAACCCTAAACCAATTCCTCTGGCCAGCATGGTATAGTAGGCCAAAAAAAAGTAGTGGACATAACTGTTGATGAAAAAAAATTTTGTTGACAGGAATAAGCGTCATCACGGATACATATTTATAATCGTAATATTATGATGCTACAACATCATAGGTATTGTCTCAGTTTGGACTAGGTACACACACATACACTTAGTAACATCGACATAATGCCAAACTATCCGTTTAAGCCATTGCCTATGGAAACCTAAATATATATTCAGTGATTAGATTTTTTCTATATTCATATTGAAATAAAGAAACAGTTTAGGTAAAGAATCATTACTTATTCAAATACCAGAACATTATTGCCGGCATTTTCATAAAATTAACTAAAAACTTTTCACTGTCCCAAGTGGTCCCAATTCTGGCAGAAGGTGGCGTTTCATTTGTTTTTTTATTTGCTTAACGTTTTAGATCCAGTGTAGAAAAATTATAAGTTTTTACTTTAATAAAAATTAAAAGTTTTATAAAAGTGATTTAGAACTACCTCAAGGATAGAAATAAAGTACTAAAATTGAAATTAATTCTCATTGTTAGGTGTGTAATAAATATGTTATATTAACCTGAGCCGACTACAAATTCAAACGTTCTAGCTTAAATTCCCAACCGGGTCGAGCCAAACACTAATTTATACAGTTAATAAACATATGTTTCTATGTATAATATGTATGTATTTACAAAAAAAAAAAAAGTATATATGTATTTATATCAGTTGTCTAGTACCCATAGTACAAGCTTTGCTTAGTTTGGGACTAGATGGCGTTGTGTGATTGTGGTAGAATATTATTATTATTATTATTATCTTTATTTCATTCTTTATACATATAAATTACATTTTTAAATATAATTATATACAAAAACAAACTCCGTGTGGTGACGGAATAAGAATACGTAATGTCACCACCCCTATTCATCCCGTGGGTGTCGTAAGAGCCGACTAAGGTACCAAACTACGCAGGACAACAGCACTGCAAAGAGAAGGAAAACTTGAAACAAACCCTATACCAACCCGTCTGGACAGCGTGGTATAGTAGGCCAAAACCTCCTTTCTAAGGAGAGGCCTATGTCCAGCAGTGGACTGTTATAGGCT